TTACCTGAAAATGAGGACACCAATAGCACAGCAAGAGAAGCAAACTAGTGAAATAGGGAAAGGAAGGCAAATGTATAAAGTTTGGACATCCAACCTATCGAGAAGTTTTGCTAAAGAAAAAGAAAAGGAAGAAAGGAAAATAAAAGGATGTGAATTTTCAGTGAGACTTGCAGGTAAATCCATGCCTATGTGAGACAACTACAATAAAAGTGGATTGTTGAATTTAGATTCAATGTACTGAGAGGAAAATGAAAGGGCGCTAAGAAGTACAGGAAAAGCTAAATGAAGGTGGTTCACTCTTGTATCTATAGCTATCCAGCACGTAACAATGATCTAAGTTTTAACTCTGACGCTAATATTTCACTCTCTGTCAGACATAGTTGTAACCAATGAGATGCCAACTGTAAAAGTTGCACCCTCAGTTCTCACTATCGTAATCTCGAGACAATAGGGACAAAATGTTTCCCCATGTCAACTTTAAAGCAGCATTCTAAATCATCATAATGACTTTCCACGAATGAATAAGTTGGGTGAAGGAAGCTTACATGTCAAACGAATCACTGGGACCAGAAACAATCTCTCTCCTCTGAAATACATCCACCAATAAGTTATGCAATTAAAGACAAGTACAGAACAGACGAATAGAGAAGAGAAGGGAAAAGAAAAGACTGGTAGGAACCCACAGGATCTGATGCATTGTCCTCTACAACCAGTTCCCAGTGTTCGCTTGTAAGATCTAGCGTTTCTTCATCACCATCATCATAGATCACCTTAGAATACCATGAGAAAAAACATAAATGATAAAACATTACCAACACACAAGAAGCTGCTCGTCAAATTAACTCCAAATTAGATTCCGAAAATAATTCTGCCTGTGAAAATGTATACTGACACCCAGCCTATTAACATATGAGCATCAACCAGCTGAAGACCAAGGGAGTATGATTACATATAGCAGTTGACGTCAGTTAATATACAAGATAAATAATGTCTTACTAAAACATGCTAAATCTTTACCATATGCTTCTTCTCTGGACGGTCAAACAAGGCGATATGTCCCTCATAGAACCTACAGAATATGAATTCTATGTAATGTAACATTTGAACTAAAAAATATACTACA